GTGGTAACACGTTCGCCTCGCATGTCAGGTGTCCGGAGTTCAAACCCCGGCACGGCCATTGGATATGCACTGCTGATGAGCTCTAACAAGAGCGAAACTCGAGTCCAGTGCTTCCCCCCTTTGGTGTGAATTCACATGAATAATTGCGCCAGGACAGGAGGACGACTGTTCAAAACGAGAGTGATGTGAAACTGAAAGTATCAGAATACATTCCGGTGAGTCTGTACCCATGGGAGGAACAAGCTACGTAGGAACCTACGACAAACTGTCAACCCGCAGGAATTGGGAAGGACTTGTCACAAAGGTCACAACGAGAGAAGAAACGTAGCCCGAATGTGTTCTGCAATATTTTTTCTGATTATTTTACTTTATTTAGTATGATTCGAATGCAGATACCGTCAACTTCACTCAGCAAGGCAACCGATGATAAGTGCTCACTTCTTGTTGCTTCTTCCATACAATGACAATATACAGTTTAATTCCCGTGAATTAGTAATACGTCCTCACCAAATGCTCTTATTTGCAAATAAGTTTATTTCCAGGATAGACTGAACTGAATATTTCGTTTACGACGACCTTGTTCAACCGAATGTGCTGTACGGCGTTCGAGATACCCCAGCACATTGTCGAAAAGTTTCAGCAACTTTACGAGTCGTGTTACATCCAACAGTACGTCTTCAAGGGATCACCTACCATATCAGCCAACGTGGACCCAGGTTGTACAAGAAATGCGCAAAAAGTACGGCCGAAGAGTGTGCGCGACGGAATCGTGGCCATTGCCGATCTTACGCGCTGAGGCACTTCCGAATGAAGGAAAACATTCATACAGGGACAGATTCGGCCGCAACATCTATCATCGGAAATCCTATCTCAGTCAAGGGGCAGAAGACTGATTCCGGCAGAGGTAGGATTGTTTTCTCCCGACCAAATTTAAGAGCATCAATATTCAGTATGGTAGTCATATATCCATCCATCCACGCGATCTTTCTTCATCGGACAGCGAACGACAACCAGTTTTTTCGGCCAGAGAAATTTTCACTCCAGATAAGACCGACTCACATTCACAGCCGGATTTTCTTTAAGCTGCCAGACAGCACGCAGACTGGATTGCGAACAATCGGGTATAATACAACTTTTTTTGGAGATGCTGATTCTGTCCTCATCTACGTTGTACGTTTGCTCTTCATTACACGAGGATATCGTACGCGCAATGGTGAGTGGAGAGTTCCAATTCTAGAGGATAAAAGAAACTTACCAACAAGGAAAATTACTGAACGTTAGGGAATTAGGAAACCGCAGGCTCTGAGTGACAAGGTACGGGCGGAAGAAACACGATTTGGGAAAACAATCGAAATAAACCGCCGTTTCAACGAGCTCACGAACGTTGAAAAGCAGACAAGTAGGACGGAAGAGTGACCTAAAGGAATTGGGAAGTGTAGAAAACTATGGACGGGACATGGAAGTTTGTAGTCGTAACTTGGTATTTTCACCCGCTGGTAGGCCTCCAGTACAAAAATACAAACACACAAGGTCAGCAAACAAGTGCCGCCTGCTAGATTTATTGTCATTTGTTTCCAAAGTGCGCGGGACGATGAAGCGGTCACGGGGACCCCAGGCTTCCAAAATGAGGTTATATATATATATGATGTGTATATAACTAGAGTAACCTTATGGTTACACGGCAGTGACGCATTAGTGTCAACACTGATGTTCCTGTCTTTGATGATGATGATGTCTTATCAAGGGGAATCTCTCTGATTGGGTGCGGTTCTGAGGTTCCCCGACTGTTTGTCTCAGGAACAGGGAATCGTGGCTTATTAGGAATGGAAAGCGATTGTTGGCTGCGAAATACAAAAGCCTCAAAGCCCAGAATCCCAACATATTGGCGGCCGGAAGCTTCTAGGTGATTAATTAACGAGTGGTGTGCACGCACATTTTGAGTGCCAAAATGAGAAATGGCCAGAAATAAGACAGATAAAATCTTTTTGGTTGACTCAAATCTTCACGAAAACCTCTCACCGGAAAACGGAAAATGGTGGGGACAATAAATGACTCGGGATAAATCTGTATGGCTTTTCGAAATGTGAGGGAATAGCGACAGTGATCAGGGAAACGGGTTCAATATGAATGTGAAAAAGGGACCAATAGTTTGGAGAAAGTGGTAAGACTTAGAAGTTTAAGTACAGTACGATGGGACAATGGTCGCTACCCTGAACGCCACAGCGTATTTCGTGGTCACACACGTTGGGCATGATTCTCCGAGAGACTAGAAAATAGTCCAGCCGCCTAGATGGAGTAAAGTAGATATGGGTGTAAGTCATGAGTGAAGGATAAGCTTCGAGATCTAGATAGCAAACTAATGCTCTGCATATACAAAAGTTACAGACAAATGAGTACTTGAGTAGAATGATGAGCCGATAGTCCTTCAATGGGGACTCTATGAGCGGAAATAGAGACACGTCTTGCTGAAAATTCCTTGTTAAGCATGGGAAGGGTCACATCCGCAGTTCTGAAATGACTTTCAGAAACACTGATAACGAGTGCGTTTACAGTTCCTGCCCCAGAGAGATGATCTTTGACGGACACAAAAATCAGACGCTCTAGGGATAATGCTCAGTACAAGGGGGTCACGTGTATTAGAATTGCGTAGCCAGATACAACCAAATCGATCGATTATCACGTGCTCTTGTTGGGGTTTCACAAACAACACTTAGGTCGAAAGTCGCTCTGAACACTCTAGAGAACTCGACTTGGTCAGAAAAGACTGCATTGTTACATCGAATCGGTCAAAACAAGGTATGCCCTTGCACACTCTGAAGAAAGGAAAATGTCTTTACAACCATACTGATTACCTAATCTTTTGGTTTGGTAGAAGCTAGGTGATCATAATTTTCGCTTCATTCCAAAATACTTAAAGAGCTGAGAAGTGTGACGACACTGATCATGACGAGAACTGCGAGGTAATTTTCCAAAGTAAAGCTTAACGAATAAGAGTGAATGATTCACAAATTACTTCATTACTGACCCGGAACTGATGGGCGAAGTAGACAGTTCAATTCAGTGTACGAGGCTCCACTGTGCCCTAAGTGCTTGAGTCAAATAACAAGAGAAAACACTCAACAACGGGGACAAGAGACCAACGTGGTCAGTAGGGTTTGTGGGTAACCAAAACATTCCGGAAAGACTAGCATTCGCTGTAGACGCCCCAGAAACAAATAGCTTTGCAACCCTTACACACCAGTACAGATAAAATGCACACGCGCAGTGATAAGACGAATTATCCAAAGTTTCACCAAAAACTAATGGGCACTTGTTCGCTCAATTTCACGTTTCAAATTGGAAAAACTCAAATCCATGACGGCACCTGAGTGCCTTAACTATTCCCTATGAAATCCGATTCGAGCTTTCGTTCTGTTTGTTAACAAGTCTATATAAAAAAAACTTATGGGTAGACTAAGTCAACACAGATGTGCTTATTGATCGATTTCTCTACGAAGTACCATTACTCGACGAACTCCAGCCCCATTTTGGTTGCTGCGCGGATGAGTAGCTGAACGACAGTGGCTGTCAAAGTCATTACATTGAAGTCTTGGATGACGTCCGCTTTCCCCAGCCTACTTGTGAGTTTGAGGGCGACTGCTATTCTACTTTGCAAGTGCATCGCTTCTGATATACGAAAGCATAATCCATGTATTTTCTTTTTGCATTGAAAAAGTAGTCAGGCTCCGGAAACAAACTAGAATTAACTGGCTTTCCTAGATGTACTCGTCACCGGAATAACATTAAGCCGACTACAAACTAAAATGTACCGGAAGAACCCCCCTCGGACAATCTGAACTAATTGAACATAGCGACCCCTCAATTTGGTACCACTAGTTGCTTTCGAACAGTATTCACACGAGTCGAGACGTATGGCTTAAAATGTTATGGAAGATGAAAGAAAGACAAATTCATCACAGACTCAATAACAATGGCCATCCATAAAATGTACCCGAAGTTCCTTACGAAACCAGAACCCGGCTACTTTGTCAATACAAACAGAAAACAAGCACTGCGCTTCCGTATGTAAAAATACTGCCGAAACGACTGCGACGCACTTACGACAACGCAGGACAGCAATCAACTTAAAAATTCGCAAGGGCTTTGAGAAGAAAACTCTCCCGAAACCATAGGGGAGACCAGGTGCAAAGAACAGAACGAACGTCATCTACAAACCTCAATGTAAAGACAGTGACAAACACCATGTCGTCTAGAGCTCGAGATATTTCAGCCGCTAAGGCGCGAAACCAATGACTCAAAGGTCAGTGGTTCGAACCCAACCCCGGCATTTTGACTGCTCCTGTCTACGCTTGGACGGTCTGGCTGTATATGAACCTTCGTGGTTCCTTCGGACAGCAACTAGAAACTAGGCATCGAAAGGTTGTTAGAGTTGGATGATTACAAATGCTTACTTTTTTACGTGTAAGTCAGACAAGAAAACTCGGATAATCATCTCCAAAGACGCATAACCCATGAAAACGCTGTCAGCCTAATTTGTCAAGATCGTTGCACCATCGTTTCGAACGGTAAACACATCATTTGACCACAGGTTGGGTTGGGACGGCTATTAGCACGCCATCAAATGCAATCTGATACACGCAAACAACTGTATTCAGCGAAAAGTTCAACTGGATAACAAAAAATGCGGAGAAACTGGCGATTTGAGGAGAGGATGCTTGTTCACACTGTGCACGAACCATATAGCTACTGAGCTATTGTATATGTATGATTATGATAGTAGTCAAATACACAAACGCCAACAGACATCGGTCGGATCACCTGCTTGGTAGAGTTAAAAAACCGCTCAGCTGTAACACCCTTCCGGAGTAAAACGAACTTCTGTGGGTACTAACTCATAAGACACGTTTTGGTTAAGACATGTGGGTGTTAATCAGTTGGGCTCTGGAGTGAAAAGGACTACCCCATGTGTCGATTACAGTTGAAATCCAACAGGACAAGGCAGTGAACAAGCCTATAACACACTGAAAACCTCTGAACTGGACACAAACTGCTCGATTCGGAAGGCAATCCAATTCATGGTTACAAACAGGATATCGATTAGGCGATAATATGCACAAACTATGTTGGAACTCTTGGATTTACTAATGAAGATGAGGATAATCGTCCAGCCGTAACACTTTTTGGACGCATAGCTGCCATGCCACCCAAAGGAAGTAAAAGGGCTGGGATACTACCAGGATGCCCAAGCCTACAAGTCGAAAGGTAGAGGTTGGGTTCGAACCACGGACCTTCCGGTCAGTAAATTTGCGCTCTAACCACTGAGCCATCTCGCCCGCAGATCTAGCCAGAACAAACGACCCGCCGGGATTAGCTACGTCGAACTGTGTACGCCTATTGTATACACAAGGATAAAATGCCACAGGAGATGCAGAAGTATCTCTCCAATGAAGCGTAAACAACATGGTTTTCAGTTAGCAGTAACTGGATGTGCGATCCTCCCAACTCGTGGTGGTCCATTGTGGACGAGGCTACTCGGTCTTGATTTGTCTGGGGATATGCGGGGAAAATGGATTTTCACCTATGCCTACTAAGGTGGGTGGAGCCCACAACTATGTATTATTCGAATTGATAAGAACGAATACATTCGTAGCAATCGCACCTTAGCAATCACCACCAGTTAGCCAGTGCAACTCATAGCTAGTTCGACTCACCTGAATACCAATGGACAGCGTTTGGTCAAGCACAGAGCACTTGTAAAGGGCTCTAGTCATGCATGGTGATAGCCATGTAGAGGGTAATGCGCTCTAGAAAATTCGGGACTGGACAGAGCACTTCACAGAGCTGCCCCAACGAAAACTTGGTACAGTTCGAATCGAAGGTTATCTGGTGCTAAACAGCATAAAAAACTCACCAGCCTGTATTCGATGGTCTGGCCATTTTTCGGTAACTCCAGAATGTATAAGCCTTCTCCCTGTCAGGATAGAGAGCACGATATGTGTCCACCAAATCAACTTCCTTTAGTAGCTTAGTGAAGTTTTCACGTTCTTCATCAGTGAATCCAGCAGATCTGTGGTTTGTGGATGGATTGGCCAAATCTAAAACACAATATGCGCTTTTGATTACTGCAGGCAGAAGTGAAAGTTCGGCAGTTGTATTTGATACAAAAGGGACCCTAGATGTGAGGGGAGAACAGAGAACGGGCAAATGATCTGAGCTAAACTGTACCAACCAGATCTAGCAGCGATAAAACAGAGTCACAAAAATATTCGCCTTAGATAATTATCCAACCTTGTTACGGCGGTCAGCAGAGTAATACGAGTAGCACAGACCTGTTCACAATAACTTGCTTAGTGGCTGCGAGATTTGCAGAGTTCGAATTCACATCACTCACGTCTGAACAGGCCTCGTTATATCCATTATTCATACGCATCGAAGACAAGAAGCATTGAACTCGAGCCCATTATTCCCAAAACATTGAAGTTTGGGGTGAGCGTCAACATCAGTCTAGTGGCACATGCTCGATACATATGAATTATCACGCCTTAACAGGTGAATGTTTAGCAAAGTTGAACGACTTGGTTGGTTTTATTTCGAAGATTCTAACAAAGATCCGGTAACTATTCTGGTCGTGTCGATCGACTGACACGTTCATCAGGACTTCCTAATCGGGTGGTGCCAAAGGTGGCTGAAACCTGCCGGACTATTGCTAGTCAGTTGTCGTCAAGTTAATAATCACAACGCCTTCGTTGGAACGGTCATTCTCTTGTACTGGCACCAAAGAGGGGAAGCAGCCAACCTAGGCTTCGCTCTTATAGGAGTCACCAAGGCACATCCTTGGTCGAGTCGGTACTTAACGCGCAAAGTGAGCATGCTACGGTTACTCCACCAGAGTATGCTCGATACACATTTAATTTACTCCCGTTTGTTTGCTTTGATGATGGGCAGCATAAAGTTATTTGCTGATGGGTGACATGGACGAAGTTTCATAAGTTAGTTGACCAGGAATTCTGTCAACTTGACTTCCGTGAAGACCTCCGAGAAGGCACTTTGTTAACCGGTTGCCTCGCCGGCTCGCTGACCAACAAATTAAATGAAACTCCGGAGCAGAAGCTCTGCAGGTAATCTGTTGCTTTGTAGGTTAGTTAAAGTATGTAGCCTTCAGGACATCTTGGGGGCCATTTCTTGGATAGTTTTCTTCAACAGTGTTTTGCCAAAGAGACTTCAGGTGCGCAAGGAACGTGCCCCGAAATAATCGTTTATAGAGGCAGTCCGTGAAACCCGAAGACACTGAAATCAAACATAAATACAACGGGACTGGGAGGAAGACAAGTTAAAACTGACTTGGAACATCTTCGAATCAGTCTCAAGATGGTTTGATTCAATTGAAAAGTGTGAGGTAAAACCGAAAAGCAACCAAAAGCAACACCAGAGTAGCGCACTGATTCTCTAATGTGACACAACTATATCAGTTTACTTAATGGAAACCTGAAACTGATATGAGGATGAGAGGAAAAGCATAGAACCATCCCCCTACGGCCGTAATATTCAATGACAATCCAGACATAAAACAGCGGATACAGTCGAGCGTCCAGTTCAGCACAAGGAAATTGACAGGAGCACCATTCTGGAGGACGATCCGAACCGAAAACGCCTGCATTTCTCGTAAAACTGCCATCACACCTTTCGGAATAGTTCATTTTGCACGTGCCGATGTGAAAAAAGCATGGAAAAGAACATTCGAAGGACGATTAGATATTCGCAGAAAGCGACTGAGCCACTGTAACTTACGGTGCAAGGTGTTTTTCGCATCCGAAGCACCTCTCCTGACATCGGATTTCCAATTAACTCTCAATGATTTCGGGATTGCCAATGAACACCGGAAACGGTGCTATGGAATCGGCGACCAAAGACTTGGAGTATTGGATCACCGGACCTCAGAGGGCACAACCGTTACAACCACCGCTGACACAGCTTTAAAAGCAGGGTAACTGACCGAAGCACTCAAAGTCAAGAAAAACAGCAACCACTGATCGAAGACATGCATGTACGGCTACCTCAATAATTGAAGTGATATAAAGATTTGATTAATGCACATCTAGCTGTTTAAAATCCTGTTTAATGCGTTCGGGTTTGCGGCGGTTGGGTGCAAGCCATCAGCAAGGCTGCGATTTGTGTGAACTTCGAAACTGATCGGTAGAAATAGTTGATTCATGTATACATTTCTGGACAAACATAAAGGGGCCGATTAGCCCCACTTCACCGGTAAGAGCTGTTGTTTTCAAATAAGTTCAAACGATTTAGTCAGAGGGAAATTTGGTGGACACCCACCTGACAAAGCGGTCCAAAGAGATTTCAGGACAGAAAAACCATGCTAGTGGAAGCCCTTCGGACCCGGTGTTTTGTTGTGTTTGATGAGTGAAAATTCAAGTTTTACTTACATTTCTTATGGGAAGCTGGTGTTCACACTTCATTCCACGCCTCTAAAGTCTACGTCGAAGGAGATCAGCTTGTTGGTCCTTTAAAATGGAGTGATCGGCCGATTGCCGAAGATGTCGCTTCAATCAATGAACTGATAATCCATGTTCTACACATATGGCTTCGCTCACAAGTCCATTGAAATAGGAGTTGTCTCGCCCGGGGGCGAAATAGCTCGGCGGTTAGAGCGTGAATTTACTGACCGGAAGGTCCATGTTCGAATCCGACCTCTGCCTTTCGAATTCCCCTGTCTAGGCCTGGACAACCTGGCAGTATCCCAGCCATCGTGCTTCTTTCTGGTGGCATGACAACTAGGCACCGAACGGACGTTAAAGTTGAACGATTTTTTGTCTTACCCATATCTTACAGCTTCACCGACAAGAAGCGCTCTCCGACAAACTTTACCTTCTTGAATGCCTTGATTAGTTGCAAGAGATCGTGGGTATGTTCGGAAGGGTGCGACATAGATCTCAGGGACACAATGAAATCCCTAAGAATCCGGGATGTTGCAGTTCAGCTTCATTTGTTTACATAAATCGGCTACCACCCTGGATGAGATGTCAGGGATGATTGAATAGGTCTATCAACGACTGTCACGAAGAGACTGGACCGTACCGTGGTTTCCGCACCTCAACCATATATTGAGCCATACCGGGGAGTGTCTCCGTGACAGTCACATAGTCTCTCACATCCAGTTGGTCAATGGTTAGAGGTCTGACGAACACAGTCTCCTGGCCCTCCAGGTTGGGGGTTGGAACATGTGGCGACTTATTCCGTAGAAAAGGTAATATATTTGCATTTTCGCTGCCTTGCGGTTAGGCTTTTGAGCCAAAGGCTTTGGTTGAGGACCCTAATTGTCCTTCTGTCTAGGTGTGGATGTATCCTATCCCTCGTATAACCATGACATTCGAAACTAACAATACTCTCATGCCACATCGGCCGTCACTTGGTGCCATCGGCCGAGTCGCCTTACTTGCTGCACACAGCAGGGTGGGTAAGCAAAAACAGGCTACTGCTGACGCCTCCCTTCTTTCTCTCACATACCTTTTCTTTACTCTCTCCCCACCCCATTAACAACTCTCTCCTTGCAGGCCCAGCACTTAGGACTGATGACTCCGTTCGTCATGCATCGGTTTTGCGTGCAGCATCTGCTCGCCACATGGCGTCGACATCCTCAGGTATCTCCGAATCAATCTTCGAGCCTGGACACTCAGTCTATCTGGACGCGCTCAATGTCCGCACTCTGAAGCAAGCAGGACAACAAGCTACTCCTGCACTCACACTGGAGTCGCTTGGCATTGATGTGTGCTGTGTCTCGGAAACGAGAATTCAACATGCAGGCACAGTGATTGAGCTAACCGATCCGTCGGTCTCCACTCGCTTCCAGCTGCGTACCTCTGGTGATCCAGAGGCTGCTGCGGCGGGATGTGCAGGGATTAGTATCGTGGTAAGTTACCGGGTAAAAGTATCCTTACTTGACTGGAAACCCGTTGATAGTCGCATCCATGCGGTTCGTCTTGCAACTTCTGTGAGTCTCACAAGCGGCAAGTTGGTATGTCTGTTTATCGTGTCTGCCTACGCCTCAAATGACTGTAGCTCCGACACCCTCTAAGACAGGTTTTACGGCGCCCTGAATGTCCTGTTTAGGCTAGCTAAAAGCTCAGACATTGTGGTGGTTGCTTGAGATATGAATGCATAGGTGGGCGGGCTTAGTGTATCTGAGCCTCAATTAGGAGGTCGTATGGATTGGGCTGGGACAATGGGGAACGATTGCTCCAGCTGTGTGCTGATCGCAGGCTGTTTTATGAAGTACTAACTTCCGAAATAGCCGAAGTCGTCTGGCCACATGGTGTCCTCCAACGACAGGCCGGCCACAAACTCAAATCAACCACATTGCCATCAGATGCCGATGTCGCGGACCAATGACCGAATGCCGGTCGTTGTGGAACACATTGGCGGACTTTGACCATGCGCTCGTCCGGAGCTGCTTCTCCTTACGTTTCTCGGGGCCGCGTAAGGTGTAGACAGATTGCTCGGTAACTGAGGGATTGGCAGATCCTGATGTTAGGTGAATTTACCAGAATCGTCTCCTATGGTCTCTTCCAAATGCTCCACCATCAGATATGGACTCATACTGGGACGACATTGTCACCTCTGTGCATAGTACTGGGAATTTTGCTTGTGGAAAGACCCAACTGGCGCACCCAAGCACTGGATATCAGACCGAACAGTGGCACTGCCTGAATCTTGAAGAAATATCCCAGCCGGTCCCAAACATAACCCGGTGCGAAGAGTTATTAGACGTCAAGTGAAAGTGAGAATGCGAGCCGACCGTGAAATTTGGTGGACACAGAAGGCCATAAAAATGGAAGATGCCCAGAAAGCCGGCAATACGTGAAGATTACTTCAGTTGACCGTAGGACCGGGTCCCGGAAACCACTTGTGAGTGAAGCCATCAAGCATCAGAATGGAACGACCATCCCGAATAAAGAACGCCTCGACTGGTGGGCTGAATACTTCGAACAACAATTGCCGTGGCCACCAAGCTGGCACTCATCTAGAGCCCACAGGTGAAGTAGTATCCTGGGAGGTGAACGTGAAACCACCTACGGCCTCGGAG